GAATACTAATGCACACGCAAGTTTTGGAACGACTATTCAAAGAAAATTTGTTACCTGGAAATGCACAGTTGGGGTGAGAATGATAATAGCTAACACTTTTTGAGTACTTACTATGAGGTATTGGATTATAGTAACTACTCAAAATACATGATGTATTTATTCTCACACATACATGAGGTAAGTACTATTATTTCCATTTACAAACAAAGAAACTAAGGGTTCAGTTGCCAAAGGTTTCACAGATAATAAATGGTAGGGTCATGTTAAAAATCTGGGTAGTCTCTCTCCAGAGACCCTGCTTTTAACTAGCATGATATATTACTTTCTACTTTAGAATACTAAAGTAAAACTAGCTTGAATATCCCTATTTGTAACACTGTATAGAAATAAAGATACTAATCTCAAAAATAATTCTCACCACATGGTATCTCCATAATGAAAATAAAAGGAGGGAGAGAAATGATTTATTCTTTTGTTCCCTGATTGATCAAGGTATCTCCTATTTCTTTTATCCCAAATTTACCAAAAAAATAAATTGCAATATAGTAGTTAAATTTTGGGGCCAGTGGCTCTGCAGTTCCTAGTTGAATAATTACTTTCTCTAAATTCTCAGTTTCTTCCTCAGTAAAAATTGGAAAATAATGGTATCTATCCACAAATAAATTTGTTGTGAGGATTAAATTAAGCTGTGTGTTTATGTGTGTGTGTATGTGAGGGAGAGAGAGAAGTAATAGTAGAACATGCTGTTGCTATTGTTATGGCATTTAGAGGTTACAGAATGTCTACATTCTGTCCTTCTTTTTGATAAGCTCATCAAGGTTCTCTACGTGAAAGATGTTTGGAAGGATTTGGAGACGTGAAGACTGCCTAAAGAAATTCAATCTCTAGCATCCAAGTCTGGTACTTCATATTCAACTCACAGTCAAGCTCGTTACATTTTCTTCCTTTGGTTATTAAAAAATATATATTTTTATTGTTATACTTGGAAAATTACAGAAGTTAGCTAACTGGAGCAGAATTTCATTATGAAATTTTACAGGAAGCTTACAATACTGGGAGCTTCTAATATCTAGGCAAAGGTCTATCTTAGTTTTGGAGCTTAAGAGAGCTTCTACAAAGCTTTCCTCACCCTTCAGGGACCTCTGAATCCCCAGAGCACTAATCTGACAATCTGACAATTTGGTACTTCTTTACATGCTGACTTATATTGGTCATATATGTTAGATTTAACTCTCCAATGATATGAGAAATTCTTTGAAAGCATGGACATTCTCTTAATAGCATAGTACCAAACATGTGGAAAGGACCTAATGCTCACTTAATTTTCAAAGTATTTATCATTAATCCCAGATTATATACTTGTATGCGTGCAAAAAGAATAATGTAACAAGATGTTCATTACAGTACTGTTTGTAATAGCAAAATACTGGAAAAAGCCTAAATGTCTATATAGGACAGATTTGTTTAAGAGCCATCAGGTAGTCATATCTGCCATATGGATATACATTCCATGGAGACTGGATGTTTTAATCAGCCTGGGACAGTGCTTGGGTAAGCAATGTCACTCTATGTCTCCCTATTTCCCATGCATCTGTGCCTGACCAATTGCTCCTTTTGATTGATGCAGACTTTCTTGTAACTTACAGTAATACTTTCTTTTGGATTATATATCAACTCCTGCTGCTATGGAAGCCATTTTTTTCTCTTAAAAGTGATTCTGCATCTCTTCTGTATTTTCTATATGCTGATTTCACATTTTAATTCTAAGTTACTTTCAGGTTCTTGGAGGTGAGCTTCATTGCTCCCTGTCACATATTGACTTGTTTTATACATGAAGATATCACAAAATATAGATTGACATCACTACACAGATATTTTCAGAATTTTGTTCCTCTCTCTGTGCTTATCTGCAAACATTTGCAATCATCTCAATATTTCTCTCTCTATAAAGCCTTTGATATCAATTTCCTTATGATGGGGGTAAGGAGGAGATTCTGTCTTCATTACCTCCTTCTGGAGACAGGCAGAAATACATGAGTCAATTCATTTTGTTAGTCACTATATCACAAATTCTCTACATATGTTAAAAAACTACTATATGTCACTATGCTTTACATTTAAAGTAAATCATTATGCTATGAAGTGAACATATAATTCCAGTTAAAAATATGAGGCTTAGGTAGAGATAGATATGGAGGTTTGGATAGATTAAGTAACTTTCCTAGAGTGACACCCTGGATTATAATTTGCAAAGCCAGAGTGTGGAACCCAGCCAGGCTGATTCTGTGTTCTTTGAGCACAACATACAGCCTCTCTCTTTATACTGTTATTCCCACTTACACAAGGAAATTATTGATGGTTGTATTACATCAGCCTTTGAAGTTAAATCAGACTTGACTTTAGGTCTCAATTCCGCCCCCCTCCCCCCAACATTAGAAGGGAGATAATAATAGTGTCTTCTTCCCAGAGCTGTTGTGGGAATTAAGTGAGGTAACTAACGAATATAAAGTGCCTAGTTCAGTGCCTGAAACATAAGCACTTATTTAAAAGCTTTCTATATTAAGTTGTAACTTTTATTTCCTCCTTTGAATCAAAAAGAGAAGAAAGTAGTATAATCTCTTTCCTCCATTCATTTTGTTGGATTGCTGGGTTGGTCATGTTTCTCCTTTGGATGTTACTATATAGTTTATTTCCTTTCCTCAGCCTTAATGAAATCACATTGGAATTTTCTATTTTTAAAATATTCCATGTTTACTCAAGTAAATAATAATCACCTTTCCACTCCACATACTCAGTGGGTATATCATACTTAGATTAGGCACTTACTACATACTGAAGTACCTTCTCTTATAGTTACCTGTATTGGTTTCATTTCTCCTGTAAGCTCCTTGAGGTCAGGGACTCAACTTTTTAGTCCCAAAGTGCTTAACAGTGTCTAGTATATCATAGATATACCTTAAATATACGCTAAATAAGTTAACTAATAGAATACAAATCTGAGTGACCTCAAGTGTACTATGAATAAATTTTATCATTTGGCATGATACTTAAGTCTATTTTCTTACAAAGAATTATTTAAAATGTGTTGCAATATACAATTTAACTGATTTGTATAAAGACACTTGTAGCTTATTTATACAAATGACATCATTCATTTGACAGTGTGTACAGCCTTAAATCCCATGGAATAAACTTTTACACCACTGTGAAAGATTCCTCCAAAGTGGGTAATAAAGAAAAAATATATATATAAGTGGGAAAAGATAACATTAAAGATAACTATCCTTTTCCAAGGTTTGGCATCCAGTTTCTAAATTATCAAGACTCCTGGTATCTTTTCCTATTACTCAGTGAGACAAGATAGCATTGGTTCTGGAGTCAGAAAAACATGGTTTAAATTCAAGTCTGGCTTTGCTTCAGCCACTTTACCTCACTGCACCTCAGTTTCCTGGTGGTAATTCCAGTTTGCAGATTGTCGTGAGAATTGAGGTATGTGTATATAGCCTAGTATATATAAAACGCTCATTAAATTATAAAAATTATCTTTACTAGGGTATTCACATGCAAATTAGATGGTAAAGGGTTTAAATTCAAACCTGTTGTTTTGTGCGTGAGCTGTTTTGGTAAATGATTTGAAGGGAGAACAAATTGAAATTAAGCATTTAAATGAGAAGGACTATATATGGATTCCAATTATCCTTATCTTTTGCTTCTTCCATAATCCTTCCCCATTATTTTCAGTTAATTGGGCTTTTCTCTGTCCCCAAATTTCCCCAGAATTAGGTGGTTTCATGAATAAATGTGAAAGCTTCTTCAACAATATTATAAAACGCAGTTTTTGCCAAACACAGTGGCACTTTTCATGGGTAAAATAGAAGCATTTCCATTTTTAAAATAATAGTATGTAGAATTATGCATTGGAGTTAGAGTCAAAATCTGATCCATATTTTTCATTTTATATTTACTGTTCTCTTTGCTATAGCAGAGAGGGTAGGAAAAAATGGCCTGCATGAACTAGCAAAGAATATATTTAAAGCCACCTTTCTTCTAAAATAACTGAGGCCTTGCTACAATTTCAGACTCATTGTACTTAGCTGTTCAAACCAAGCCTTCTATTTTTTATGCCCCATGCCCATTGCAATGGATTGTAATGGTTTTGTGCTCACAATTGCATATGTACCCTCTATTCTCATATACGTTTATCATTTTCAGTGTAAATTCACCACCAGGGCTATAGACTATGGCTCTATACTATGCACTTACAGAAAACTTAATGAAAAGAATAAATTATAGAGGAAGAAATTACCAGCTACCAATATGATCCTAATACCAGGGGCCCTGAAATTCTTTACTGTATGGCAAAACTGCTTCCAGTGATTACAGCATCAGTGGGGAAAGTGGATAAAAGGAATTAACATGAATTGAAAAGAACCTTCTTTTTGCTTTTGTTAATATAATAATGTGGTTATGCAGCAAATTAAGTGAACCAGGTAAATTGTTGGCTGTTGTGAAACACAGGGTTATGTGTTGTTATATTGTTGTCCTGAATGAATGGAGTAGAGAGCTGTACCACTCTAGAGTATTGGGAGAGCAGTAGTTACATGAAGCCCAAAGATATTTCCAGAGACTTCTCCCTTGAAATAACTTCCTCTCCCCTAAGTGCTCAGAAACGACAAATAATAAGTTGCTTCCCTATGATTTGGCAGGTACCAAAAGACTCCCCTGCCCCAAATAGTTCCCTTCCAAAAAACCAGAAATTTTCAGATTACTCACACCTTTGGATAGAGTTTATAAAGACTCTGGTGACCACAATTTTATCATCTGAATGGATAGCTTAAACACAATGGCCTATGAACTGTATCAGATCTGTAGATTTGTTTTCTTTGACCAAAACGCAATAAAAAAATTAATGTACATTTAAACATGGAGAACTTTCACATTAACATTTAGGTTCCACGCTTCTTTTGAAAATTCATGAAATCTGACAAAACTAAACTCACATTCCTCCACAGAGAACACTGACTTTGGGTCACTCCATCTCTGAGACTTAGTTTCCTCACCTGCAAAAGGTAGATAATGATATCTAGGTCACACACTTGTTATTAGGATTAAATGAGATAATAAACAGAGAGAGCTTAGTACATATTAAGCACTTGATAAATGATAATAATTATCAGTATCATTGATTAGTGGCTGCCCCCTGTAGACAGGGCATGTACCCTCCAATTTGGCACCAACCCTTCTGTACAAGATTTTTCTCTCACAATAGAGATGATGAACATTAGTTGCCATTTTATCAGTATACTTGCACTGCTCCTTCCTCATAAGAATACTTCTATTTTTCAAAATGAATGATAAACTGAGAGAATTTGTACATTTTTATAGAAAAATAGGAAAGAACACTAAAACACTAAATAATCTCCAGATACTTTATACACTGCCTGGTTTCTAAGCAAGGTGGATCTTGTCCACCATGAAAAGTGCTAATTTAGCTAAAGTTTCTCCCCACTTGGAAGTATTGTTGTTGTTCTCACATTGTGTGTTTCAAACTGGCCAATCTTAGTTTCACAGTTTCAAGACTTCAAAAACATCCCAAGATATCTGAGTAGTGCATTAAAAACAAAGTTGGCAGAGTTTGCTTTTAAAAATCTGTTTGAAGTCAAGATCTGTTCAAGAAAAAAGATGCTCCATCTTCTGAAGCTGTGATATTTATTCTCTGTTTACCCTTATCCCTTTTTCCCCAGATCCATTTTCTACTCTTTTCTGACCTGCTCTGTGTTCTTGGAAGGCTTATCTCTACTAACAGCATTACTGGAGCTCTCTTGCTGGCTGGCTTCTATTTATGTCTTACTTCTAGTTAATTGACACCAGGAGGAGACTGGAAGGGTGGAAGAGAGGGAGGGATACAAAAAAGGCCAGAGAGGAGAGGTCCTTATATTTAACCCCATTCATACTCCCTGGCTCTGTTTCATTGTGGTTCTTCTATGGTCACAGTTTTTGTAGTACGGCCCCTCTTCTATAGCTCCAAACTCGCTCTAAACTCCAGTAACACCATTCTCTCCCCTTGCCCCTTCAGGCCTAAGGGTGGTAATGGCTTCCTATTGTGGTTAGTTTCTGGGAACCTCCACATCTCTTATTAGTTCCTTTAACCCTGACTATTCCTCTCTAAGCAATCTCTTGAGACATTAAATTCTGACAAGACTCTGACTGATAAAGAAGCCATTACCAAATTTGCTATTTTATTTACAATCTTTTATATAGCCTTAATTTTTGAGCTATCCTTGTTAAAGCAATAAAAAGAAAACCTGTGAACAGTCTACAGTGATGATTCTATTAAGTATATAATATTTATAATTGAACAGGTATATCACTATTTAAGTGTTTCTTTTTGCAAAGCCAAGTTTGCATAAATGTGTATCATTTTAATATCATTTATTTTGGCATGGAAGAAAATACAGAATAAAGTAATCCTAGTAACAACATTAATTCTTATTCCATATCATAGAGTGTCACGTCTCAAAACTCTTGAATCACTTGAGGTTGGGTGATAAGTATTACAGTGTTTCATGTGTTGAAAATACTTATTATTTAATAGGGCACTTTTTTAGCCCTGGATTGAGTATGCCTTGAAACACAAAGCACCAAGAAATATTTATTTTTATTGAAGCCAAACCATTAGGATAGTCAAATAAGTGTAATTTTAGCACCTCGGCAACCATGAAAGAGAAGTAACAACTAAGGATGGTGATGACAGTGATTTACTAAAAAAACTAATCCTCCAGGGCCTGTCCTGTGCCAAGGATAGAATTACTTAACATCTTTTCATTTCTAACCAAAATATTAGTCAATAATCATCCATATTAACTACGATGACCCTAAACTCTCAAAATATTCTAAAATGCCTATTGAATTATTAAATGAATTAAGATATGCTATGTCTAGTTTTGGTTTTATGTACACTTAATTGCATAAGTTTTATATTATTTTTGGTAATTGCTAAGGCATATGTTATACATTTCTTTAAGAAATGTGTTGATGCCTACTTTATGCAAGATGTGCTCAGAACTGTGGATGAAATGACAGTGAATAATAATGGTGTCCGAATATCTTGGTTAATTGAGAATAATTTTGAGGTTCATGAAACATTTACTCCACCTCCCTACCATGATGGATACAATGAATTTTGCTCTACATGGCCAAATACATTAAATAAAAATGTAAAATTACAAGGTTTCACTTTATATTATGATTTTAACATTCTTACCAATTTCTAAACTCTCTCACCACAGTTGTTACATTTATAACAATCAGTAGAATGTTAGCTATGGCTACTTTGGGTAAATATTTGTATTTCTTACTGTTTACTTGATAATGTATTCTGCCTTAGGCTGTCTTTAGGCATCTGTGATGGTGACAAGGAGATTCATCTCTCTCAAAGATGATACATATAAATCAGTTTGAGTTTGAGATGGCAAAGGGTAAACTGCTCTGAAATGTGATACCAAGTAGGATGCATTTAATTGTGGTCTCTTGGGTGAAAGAGAATTTGAACATGAGACCTCACCCCATGCTGCTCTGGAAAATGGGAAGCCCATCCCATTGCCAGATATCATTTGTGTTTCATATACGCATGGGTAGCTCAGGGTATACGCTAAAATGAGTTCAATTTTTTAAAAGCAGGATTTTCAACACTGAGATTTGGGAAAGAATGTGTCAGTGGGCACTATACTTTCTCCCTCTGCCTCATTCTCTACATCTAATCAATGTTTTATAAATTGTACCTCCTAAATATCCCTGGAATACACCATTACTCTCCATCCCCATGTCACTTCCGTAGGAGGAATCACTCTCATCTCTTACCTGGACCACTCCATCCTAACAAGTCGCCCTGAATCCAATCTTTTCCCCTTTCAAACTAGCTTTCATATTGCAGCGTCACTGATCTTTCTAAATAAAGCACCACTCTGATGCCACCCTGTGCCTTGCCTTCAGGCTTCCCATTGCCTGCTAAGTTCAAAAGTCTTAACAAGGCATGCAAGTCTAAGTCTCATCTCTTGTTACTAACTACCCTTATTCCTATGCAGTTATACTTCATGCTGTAATCATACTAAACTGCTTACAGCTCCAAATATATTTATTTCCTTCCTCATATTCTGAATTTAGCACATGCTAGTCCCTCTGCCTAGTACACCCTTTTCCACCTCAGCCCTGCTTTTTCTAATGCTAACTCTTAGTCATTCTTCAGGTCTCAGCTGAGACAGCCTTCTCCCAGGAAGCCTCCTCTAACTGTCAAAGACTGTGTTAAATATCCCTCCTTTATTTTACCAGAGCACTTTGTAATTCCTTGATCATACCACTTAATCTCACTGAATTTCAACTGCTTGTCGAGCTTTTTAACTAGACTGTAAACTCCATGAGAACAATTTTATCTTGTGAATCATTACATCCTCAATCCCTAGCATAATGGGTCCAAATAGTTTTTTTTTAAGTGATTAGGCTTCCTATCCTATATTTACAGATTTTTGACTTGAGAGAATCAGTAGCCAGGTGAGCAACCTGAAAATGGAGGAGCTCTAAATTTTGGAGGAGGAGGACTGCCTCTTGGGTTGTCTGTCATATTCAGAAACTCAATCTATAAAATGATATGCTATATAAAGAGCTCTCTCTTTCAGGATTTTTTTTCTTTTTTTTTTTTGCATTAGCAGTACAAGGCACCCATCAAGCTTGAAAATTACTGGGGTTTTCCCCTTTATTACAAAGGTTGGGCAAATTAAAAACATCTTGTCAAGGCAGAAAATCCTCTTCACAAGATACATAAAAGAAAAAAAAACATTTTTTTATTGAGTAAGCACTAAACCAGATTACAGTGTGCATCATACTCAATCTTCCTGGAGATTACAAAGACGGAAAGTAATTCTATCCTATATATCACCAAGCAGCCTCAATCCATCACATACATGTTTTCAAGATTAACCATAACTTGTCTTCCCATAAGAGAACTTTACAACACCTTTGTTATACATTCTTTTATAGTTCATCCCATATTCACCTGGCATTGAAGTAGCCATTTGTGTTAGCTAATTGCCTTTCTCTGAAGGAAAAATAAAACTTCTATCACTAGGATAAGCATTTGGTTACAGCTCAAGGCAAGGCATTCCCACAGTGACATGGGGATAGAAGCACTATATTCCTTGATGTTTACATTTCAAAGAGATGGCTCCCTGACCCTTAAGAAAAACACTCCGGGATTGTAAAGCTGGCAAGAGGCTTGTCTAGACTTTAAAAAGATCTACAGAGAATCAAAAGGAGAAGAAGTATTCACAAACAATAGGTTTTTTTTTCACAGAAACGTACTGAGAAAGGGAGGAGAGAAATCACTTTCCCTCTTGGCAATGGGGAAAAAATCATTTAAAAAAAATTTACGCTTAAGCCAGTCAGCTCAAATAGTTAGGTAGGACTCTGTTCCTTCTGGAGATGTAGGCCTCCCTAGTAGAACATATTTTCTCTCTCACAATCTATGTACCTCACATTATAGAATAAATGTATTGAGAAAGCCACACTCATGGCTTTAAAAAAATACATATGCTGATGAGATGCCCAGATTATATCACTGGTCTAGACTTTTCCCTTGAACTAAAAACTCATATACAGAGGATATATTAAAATATTAAAATATTGGTACTACCTGGTATTGACCAATCAAAAGAGATACCAGCCTGTATGCATATATGCAAATACCTACTGAAATTTCCACTGAATAATTAACAGTCATCTTAAATGTAATGTGCCCAAAACATCTATCCCTAACCTTCTGGTACCATAGTCTTCCCAGTATTACTAAAAGTTGACTCTATTCTTTCGTTACTTGAGCCAAAAAGTAGGAGTCGTCACTAACTCTTCTCTTTCTCTTATGCTCCACATCCAGCTTATCAGGAATCCTGAGTTCTCAAACTTAAAAATAAGTTCCTGAATCTAAACACTTTTAATGCCCTCAACTGTTAAGACTCTAGTCAAAACTATTACTTTTTGCCTTGATTATTGTCAAAGCCCAGTAACTGGT